AGTTTGTAATACTGTCAATCAAGAATGTATGTTTCTTGCATGTCCATTATGTGAAAGTAATTTTCAAGAGAAAGTTATTGATAATGTTGTAAGTGGAGCAACTAGAATTAAATGGTGGCAATGGATCAATTTAAACGAACGTGCAGAAAAAAAGGAATTTGAAGGATCAGTTGATGAAGCTGTTGAATTGTTGAAATCCAAAGTTAAATATTTTCTATTTCATGTCTATATTAAGCGTGAACAAAGTAAATATTTCGAACAGTTAAAGTCAGAAGTAACAAATGAAAAGTTGTTATACAAGTTGATTTCGCTGAAAATTTTGGATTGAAAGAGCAAGACGAAATTCAAAGTGCTCATCGGAATACAAAAACTCTATCTATATTTACAGCTTATGTATGGTCTAAAAGTCAAGGTTTTTCATTTTCGCTTCCATCGAATGACGTCTCTCACGATAAATTTGTTGTAAACTCAGCTATTGAAATTATTTTAAATGAACTTAAAACACATGTACCGAATTTAAAACAAATTGATTTCTTTTCTGATGGCGCCGCCCAACAATTTAAGCAACGTTTTATGTTTCGTAATTTAATTCAGATGGCCCATGTCATCATTATGCTTCAAGTGTCTTACGTGGAAGAAAAAGATGGTTCAGTCATTAGTTAGAGGAGTCTTAAGGTTCAAGAAACTACCTTAGAGTAGAGAAATGCAGTAATTTCACTCTTTTAGGACTAAAGAATGTTTCATCCAACAATTATTTCGTCATTGAAAACCTCAACCTTTGTGAGAAAAAAAGAAGTCACAGCGTCACGTTAATAAATTGGATTTTCTAATCGACGCAAAGGGTCTGAAACAAAGTTCTTTTTAGCAACAGATAGCTCTTTATTTGCTCTACAAACTTCTATCTAGGAAAGCGTGTTTTGTTAAATGAACTTTACAGAAAATTGGCATTTAATTAACAACACTCAGAAAAAAGGGCCTTTTTTTGTCACAGCGTCACGGCCGGAAAAATGGTTCTGTAGACTAGAGACTTAACTCAAATTTTTTTTTCTTTTATATCATAAATAGAGCGAGGTAAGCTGCATAGAATGCCGCCGGAACCAATCTTCTAGCTCTTCTACTTTTTGAGTTGATTTAAAATTAACGCGTAAAAAGTGTCACAGCGTGCTTGGACAAGCCATAAAACATGTGATTCCTGAGGGATTTTTGAGGATTTCTCGCAGGGCTCTTCGTAAAAACTTTATAAATCGGTAAGAAAACGTTTCTAAGACTTTAAAATTTGAATTTCTGGATGATTTCCAACAGAGAATCGAATGAACATGCTTAGAGATAAAAGTATTTTTCACCGGATAAACCATTCGTCTACGTTTACTCAATTTTGTTGCGGACGGACAGTCTCTTAATTACTATAAATATTTTATCTAATAATTATTGGAAAGTAAATCCATTATAGCAAAAAACACCGTTACTTCCCGAACTCCGTACACTTTTAATTAATTTCAAATTGAGATCAAGGAATCTTCAAAGGCGGTGGGTGGGTGGATGAAAGTGTGTGGATTTCGAGAATGAGCCAAAAAAAATCTATCACTCCTTTTCTTATTAGAAAATCTAATTAAAATAAAGATTAATCATCGAAAACTAAATCCTGTGCACGCCTCTGTTCGTATCTTTAATCTTTTTTTATTCAAGTATAACTATATTACTATCAACAACGTTGATGTACACACAATGCAATCGGTAAAAATGTGCGGCACATGAACAATAACCATCTTCGAAATGATGAATACGAGTTCTATCACGCATAATTATTTCACATTGTCTAGTTTGTGATATTCGTCTTCTGACATCATGACAACCACTACATACACGCAAATTCTTCATTATTTGAGTTTTTCTTGGATATGTTGAAGAAAAAATGAAATTAAAAGCTAATGCTAGCTTCTCTGAATTCCCACACAACATGATTCCACACTTTTTCCAGGATTTGCCGCACGTGTTAACCCTAACATGAAGTAATAATAGCGTTTGGTAAAGTATGAGTTAGATAAAAAATTTAACAGTAAGAATCTATTGGTTACAACAAGTTAATAAATGAACCTTTTATTATATTCATATCCATCTTGTTCAAGTTCCTCATCTGATCATGTCTTCTGTCCAACTGATTTCTAGTGATTTCTGGCACATGTATTTATCTGTTATTGTTCTCTTATTTTCGTTGATTCCTCATAACTACATACATCTTCTGTTGTTTCGTTACACAACAGAAATCACGTCAAATGGCAATTCTAGAGTAAAGAAACAAAGAAAAAAGAAAATATAGTTGAACTGTCTTTTCTTCTTTTGATCTTACTGCTTTCATACTTCTATATAGAGTCGTGTGGGATAATTCCGGCCACTTGCACAAAGTTTCTTAGTATTTTGCGTATTTCTAAGGCGTTTTTAATCGGATAAGCGTGCTATTGAATATGAAGATAGAACTAACAGTTCTCTATCCGCTGAATCTCTCCTAAAACTCCCTCTCCGTTTTCCGCCAGTATTCAAAAGGAGACAGGGACCTTGAAACCGACCGGAATTACCCCACTGAGTGTATGGAGTTTCGTAAAAGAGAAGTCTGGTACTTTTCAGAAGTTTCTGACATAATCTTTAGATAAAAGGTCATTCTTCATATCATTACATACAACACATATGAAAATTACAGCTCAATAGCTCAAAATCAGCAGGCTCTCTGATCTTAGATATTTTGATGTGATTTTACACATATTGTGGTATTTTGGTAGAATAATAGCATTTTAGTGGAATAATTTTAATTTAAAATTTTTGACCTAAAAGCTTTTCTAAAGAAGTTTAAAATTTACACCATTCCATAGAAAATTAAATTCTCTACAAATGGCTCGTTTGTTTCAACAATTCGACTTTAGGAACAAAAATTATGCATTCTCGATATTTCAAGGTTCCAGTCAAGTTTAAAAGCCTGAAAAAAAAGTTATGTTTCAATTAGGGGTGTTAATTTAGTTTTATCGTTCATTTATAATAATGGATAAAAGTAAATGAATCATTTACACTTAAAAGATAAAGATAAATTCGTCATTTATATTTTTTAAAAAATAAATGACGAATTAATCTTTATTTTTTAAGTGTAAATGATTCATTTACATCTATTTTCCAAAGTAACACTAAATTAACACCCCTAGTTTCAACGTTATTTTTCACATAAATCAATAGAATATCACCAAATCTATGGCAAATATAAAAATCAAGTTTTTTGGAGGACATTAAGTGCCTGAAAATTCACTGACAAAAAGGCGTGTTAAGCCGTCACATTTATAAGCGAGGGTAAGGCTTTGGAAGAAAATTCGTTTTAATATTGTATAGATCGTAAGCTTCTCTAAAATATCCGCTCTAGACAATTTCCATTTGCTCAAGTAGTTTCGCAGGAAATTAGCGTTTAATTGGATGTACTCGCAATTTGGGGCCTATTTTTGTCATGTCTGTCACGTACCGATTATTTCTTCCCAAAGCCGTAAATATTACCCATATTTTCGCATTTTTTTTAAGAGTGACAGAGGACAGTGAACTGCAACAAAATGGCGATGGAGTCATCCTTCTACCTTTTATAGTTTCTATAAAAATTAAGAATTACTATGTCAAAAATGTCACGCCATTACGTTTGGACAAGCCGTATAGGTCTAAGTGTTCGGACCTTATTAACATTTGCTTGATGCTTTATGAGTTTTTAAAAAAAAGGTGTCAGCATTTTTCTTGAAAACTCGCAAATTTTCTTATTTTGACTTTTGTGTCTTGTCGTTCTTTGTTCTGAATAAATTGCATATCAATGAAACGTGAGGAGAAAACTAGACAAAATGTATGACTTCTCAGTTTTTAAAACTGAAAAAATAGAGTGAAAAAATTCGAATGAATGAAACTTTTGAAACTTAAAACATTAATACACGGCTTTTGAAGAAAAGCGTTAACCCCTGCTTTTAAAAACTCACAAAGCATCAAGCAAACGTCATTAAGGTCTAAACACTTGGACTTATAGGTTACTTTAGCTGACGAATCGAAGAGACATAGTTATATTGAAGAATAAATTTGGACGATTTTACGGATTTTTTCGCGTATGCTGGACGCACTGTTGAGAAAGGTGAGTCAATAACACACTGAAAGTGAACGCCAAGTCGATTCCCAGTGAGCGTCTAGAATGCACGATGTAGATATGCAAAATACTCACTGAGAAGTGACCATCTATCTTTGCACACTAGGATCTATGACATAGTGTACTTATCTAAAACGTCAGTACAGAAAAATGCATCAGATTGATTGGTCAGTTGTTCGAATCTCATAGGTAATGATATTTTGTTTTTCGGTTTGAGGATGTTTTCTTATCCGTCTAACTGCTGAGGAAAATTCTACTCATTCATATATAATACAAAAGATTGCTGAATAATTACCCCAAAACGATAACAAAATGAGCGTTTCATTCGCTTCTTTTCTCTAACATCAACACCCTGGTTGAGCACCTCTAATTGCCTAAGTGAGCTTTCAGTTAAAAATGATTATGAAAAAGAAGGAAAGAGAAAGGCACAGGAATGATTAGTGGTAAGAAAAGTCAGCATAAATATTATGACTATGAAATAAGTAATAATCGTTTATCTAAAGGTCATAAAATACTAAAACTCAACCATGAAAACTAATCATCGGTGTGCCCTTCAAATAATAATCACTAATGCGTAGAAATAAATTTGTAACTGGAGAAAATTGATTCAAGAGACATGGACATGTCCGCCCCCTCAACCATGAAAAGGGAAGCATTTCTGGTCATTTTAACACAAAATCATATTAGACCCATTTTCTATCAGAAACTGCTTCTTGTCCTTACGATTTTTTTAATAGTCATAATATTTACGCTGACGTTACAATACAATATTCTGTGTAATTTATTTCTGCATATTAAAAATTATTAATTTGATGAAGTACACACCGATGAATAGTTTTCATGATTGAGTTTTAAATAAACGATTATTACTTATTTAATAGTCACAATCATATCACCGATAAAAAAAATTAAAGCTCATTTAGAGTTAAAGAAGTGCTTTTTCGTATTCGGCACACTTGATAACCTGGAAAGTTTTGTGTTTTTATCGAGAGGTACCGCCAAAAAGTTAAGAAAAATTTTCAAACAAATTGACGCAGAAAAATCCCCATGGTAAAATTATACAATTTTGAAAATTTTTCTTAACTTTTTGGCGGTACCCCTCGCTAAAAACAGAAAATTTTCCAGGTTATCAAGTGTGCTGAATACGAAAAAGCACTTTTCTTTAACTCTAAATGAACTTTAATTTTTT